TTTTGTTTTTGTTTTTGTTTTTTTTTTGCTAGGCAGTCGCTAGTCAACTCAGTGCAATAGCTGTCTTTTCGCGCCCAATTACTGAAAGACCGAGCCCACCCGATACCACTGATCATTGGTATACCAACTAAAAGCAAAACAAAAAAGTAAATGCTGCCCAAAAGCTGAAACCCAAACAACGACGTGAAAAGAAAAAAAAACTTCATTTGAATTTTAAATGTGATACTCCTAATCAACGGTCGAAAAGAGCATAATAATTGCCTTCGTTCATTTTGCTGTTTCCAACACCTTGAACACCAAACAGCTTCACTTTCCCTCATGTACTTGTTAATATCTTAGTTTTAATACTTGATACTTAGCTCTAGATATACAATGCATGCTAATAATAAAAGCAAGCTAGTTATAGATTATTTTCAATCATGAGCCGAACCTACTCATCAGCGTAAACCTTATCATTTTAAATTCTTACTGAATTTTTGGTCGGATTTCATTTTAGTTTTTTTCGAGAGGAGTAGAATATATAATGACAGTATTTTACTTATGTTAAATATTTATACATAACTTTTAATTATGCTACTAGAGTGACTTTTCTTTGCCCATGAAAGAATAGTGAACGTATATAATACATAGTAATACTAACAAATTTCATTGTTTTCTTCTTTTTGCTTAGACTGTAAGTCACATAGTAGTGGTCACAAATTTCATTGTTTTCTTTTTTTGCTTAAACTGTTAGTCACTGAATGAATACGACTTTTTTTCACAGACGAAGCAAAACCACTCTAATTCCAGTTAAACTTTAGTATTTTTCACATGACATTTGAAAGCTTGCAACAAAATCCCTCGCAGCCAAAATACTAGCAGCGTAAAGCAGTATTTTAAGGAAATGGAACGGTGTCATGATTTTCATTTGAAATGCTTTTCAAACCCAGGTTGTTCGTGACGGATATGTATACCTAAGTCAGTGACGAAAACTGACAATTTAAGAATGCGATCGTAGCAGGTGCAGGATATCCTTACTTCAACTGACTATTCTAACTGCTGACACGTTACCTAAATAAACCTTGTCAGTAAAATAAGCTGTCCACAGGAATAGGAAGGTATAGTAAATCCTGTTTTAAAATATCAAAATTTAAGTTACTTACTGAAGAAGTTCCAAGTAATGAGGTATGTTCTTAATTCCTGCTTTGACTTCGATTTTTTTGAGAGTTTTTCTATTCCAGCAGCTAGCAGTACTGGAGAGATCTAGTCGTCTAAAGAGAGCCAAAATGACTTGTTAACCTGTTAAAATTCAATAGATCCTCTAGTTGTTAAATCAAGAGTGACACAATTAAGTCGTGCCACTGCGAAGTACCTCCAGCCATGGCAACGGCACTCTTAACACCAGACCAGGCGCCTTGATTAAATATAAAAAGCCTTTTTTTGTTCTACACTCAGTAATTGCGACCTCTTAAGATGAAGAAAAAGAAAAAGAAGTCAACTTAACATGATATGTTTTGGAAGCTGTTAAATATAAGACGACCATCTTTGGATTGCACGGTGATGGGCTCGGAGTGTAGGATTTAGAAATACCTAATTTTATCGATACCCGCTAAAAGGGGCTGATCAAAGTCGGGCGAGATGTCTAATTCACAGATCGTATATAGCAAAGTAGCGTAATTAGTTTTGCGAAAAAAGAAAAAAATAACACTGAGAACCAGAAGCAGGAGAAAACCCCTCGAATCAAAGAAAAAACTGGCCTTACGAACTCTGTCAGTCACCTATTTTAAGATGGCTAGAATCTTGTTGTATAAGTATTGAGTGCCTGCATATGTTGTTCAGTTGTATCTGCAGCATTAGGAATAGCTAAATAATTATTATTTAAGCTATGGTCTAGGAATGGGGAGGTATAAATTTAAAACTGTCTACGTCTCATTACTTCTAAATACGAATATTTTAACAGCGGCGAACACACTACGACACAAGGATAATTTTAAGCACGAGCCTTCAAAATTTTCCTTCAAGTTTATCGAACTCTAAAACAACTCTTTGTGATGATCTATGCCAGGACATGGCTAACTCTCGGATCGATTTTTTTTTTTTTTTTTTCGTGATTCGGTTTTGCGGAGGGAGGAAAGCCTAGAAACAAGGGAAAATAGATCCAGGTTATTTGAGACATGAATCAGTTGAACTAATTGCAGTAAGCGAAAACCAGGGCCCGGTTGTATGAAGGGTAAATAGCACTATCCGACGAATAAATCTTATCCACTGGATAAGTTTATTGGATATAGAACAGCACCGACTTATCCAATGAATAAGAATTTTTATTTATCCGTTGGATAGCACTATCCACCCTTCGTACAACCGGGCCCTCAGTTTGGGGACTTGGGCAACTAAACTTATTCTCAGGGGACACGAAAACCTAACTGGACTCTGTGCACACAGATTATGATCATCCTTGAGTTATATCCTTATCATCTTGGAGTAAACAGTTTACTTCGTAAGTTAGAATTCCAATTCCTCATACTGGTAGCTCAGTATAAGCTGAGTATGTGCTATGAAAGGTTGACTGCAAGACAAAATCCCCCCGGCAACGTTCATTCAAAGTTCTAATTGCATAATTACTGCCTTTTAAGTGAAGCCTTTTATTCATTACATTTCTCAAAGAAAGGTGCCGCGCCTCAAACTCCTTGGGGTGATTCACCAAAGTAACCGGAAAGCAAGGGAATTATTCTGTCACACGTGGTTTGAATTGAATTGCATGGGAAAACGCTATACTCCAAGTCATGAGCAGGGTTTATAGAATAGACCTTCCCATTTCAGACCTAGCTAGCTCGTGTCTTTCCTCTTGGAATAAGACCCCATTATATTAATGTATTTACTCAAGGGTTGCCATATGAATCATGAAAGGGGAATGATAACGGCATGTGGTCTGAGATAGGAAAACATTACACACCCAAGCCTATTCCCCGCTAAGACACAGACAAATGTGATTTCGGTTTGTTTAATTCACGTGTTGCTTTATCCCTTCCAAGGAAGCACGGGTGGCGTAGCGGTGAGAGCGCTCGCCTCTTATCAATGCGACCCGAGTTCGAGTCACGCCGGGTTCGGTTTGTATATCATAGAGTTGTTTGTTGGTTCTCTCCTGTGCTTCGAGGGCTTTCCGGGTTCTCTGGTTTTCCTCCCTCTTAAATTCCAATTCGATCACGGAATGAGGGCCACAGGTTTGTTAGCCACTGGCTATTAAGTGCTATCCTCGTGAAAAAAGGACAAAAGAAGGTTTTTCTCCGGTTTTCCTCCCTCAGTAAAGACTGATCAACATGCGAGTTGTGTTGTGTGTTTTAGATATGTAGTTGTTTTAGATATGAACCGGCGGAAGCGTAAAATATAAGTTTTTAAACGTTTTTATACAAGTCTTTCATACACTGAACGTGCACGATGCTTGTAGCATATGTTAGTCCGCCGGACTTTTTGATCTTTCAATAATTATTTTTTATTCAGTTTCTATTCGGGTTTAAGGTTACTGGAGACCTTCAGGGGTATGTTTATCTTTAACTCTCTCTACGCAACACGTTCAACAAAAACTCCTAATACTATATATAGTTTTAAAAGTTAAAAGATAAAGGCCGGTTTCGAAAATAATATATCATTTCAGAGTGATTTTCTAATTTGAAACAATGCCGAGCCTTAAACACAAATCGAGAATTTTCCGTAGAGGTGAATTAATGGAAATAGCGTTAGTGCGTATAGCCAAAAGAACCTCATTATGTGGATAAGCAAAAGATAATCTACAAAAATGCGTGAGCTATTTTGATATTTTGAGTATTCGTCTTTTATGCGGTAAAAATTTTACCGGCATTGAAATTTTTCGACGTTCCAACTTTAAAATTTAATAACTTTTTAAAAAAGCAAAATATCAAAAATCGCTCACATCCTTTCGTAGTTTATCTTTTGCTTATTCACATAGTGAAATTCTTTTGGCTATACTCGATCGCTAAATCCATGTCTAGTATTAATTCACCTCTACTGAACGTRCCCGATTTGTGTTTAAGGCTTCGACATTGTTTCAAATTWAAAAAATCGCTTTCAAATAATATTATTTTCTGAATCTTTATTATATGACATTCAAAACGCTATATAGTCTTATGGGGTTTTGTTTAAATTGTTGCGAAGAGAGAGTCTTAAACTAAACATACCCCTGAAGGTCTCCAGTAACCTTAATTTCAAATATCACACAAAACATGCCAATAGCTACGTTTACATCTTCTTTCACGATTTTTAAATCGATATTCCATCTCTAAAAGTAGATTGTAAGATGAATAAATACTCCAACCGCMTTTCCTTTGTCCGACTTCTATAATGAACGTTTTTTTATTGGTAATTATGTCATTCGTATGTGCAGGGGCCGCGGAGCAGATTGAGACTAGTATGGGAAAAAGTGCCAGTGGGACTAAGATCTGAAAATATAAGAGACTAGTGTGGTAAAAGGGAAAAAGTGTGCCCCATCCCGTCCGCGGCCCCTGATGTGTCGTTTTATATTCTAACTTCTAACACTGCGATGATCTACTATAGTTATTATCACACCTGTTGTGAAGATATTAGATACATGGGTCTACGATTAAATTAAAATAATTTTTGGTTGCCAGGATCTGGAAGTAAAAGTCTGCCACCCACTATGATATCAATGTAAGAAGACTTCGCTCGATAAAAACTCCGGCGRAAGACAAAAGAGATTGATTTGTGGGAAGGCTAGGGATCTTGCTAAGTTGTCGTATTTCTGGGTAAGGGTTCAACTATATTTTAAGAGAGAATTCTTTTCGTATTCAAGCAGTGAGCGCCAAAAACTATTTTCTTGAAGAAAGGCTGTTGTACAAGGCTAAAAAATTGTTATTCAGAAGGTTTAACTTGTTTGGAAGTGGAGATGACCGATGAAAGTGGAATCAAAGTGTTAACCCAAGAAAAAATTTGAATCAAAACTGAGGTTTCATTTGAGGCCTTCATTTGCTTATTTCCCATACATTTTCTAAAACATCTTTGTAAAATTGAAAATACCGCTTCAAACAAGCATCTAATTTTTATCATAGTACATCAGTTTCCAAAACGAAAATTGGGATCAAAACTCATACGAAGGTCTAGTTTTTGCGCTTTTTGCCATTATAATTGCTCATTATTGAAAAAAATTTCCTCTTAAAATAATATTTATAATACTAATTAATACCCTGAACTTAACAGCCTCGGGGCTGCCAAAGTCAGGGCACGCGCGGCTCGAAGAAAACCGGAGCACCCTGAGACTCCATCAAGCTCTTTAAATCATACTTCGAAGACAGGGAAAACAGAGTGAGAATTGGAAACTACACTAGCGACTGGAAATTAGTAAACAGAGGATGTCCACAGGGTTCTGCACTGGGACCAGCCCTTTGGAACATATTCCAAAACGATCTGTTCTATGAGGAAATAAAATCACAACTTTCAATGTATGCA